CTGTCTCTGCTCCAGCCGCAGGGTGAAGTTTCCCACCTGGACCGTGATCACCCTGGTCACACTGACTCGCCCATTACCCCAGGCCACGTTCTCCTGCAGGACGGCAAACCGATGCAGGCCAGGCCGGGTGCCGCAGGTCTGAGCCAGCACATACACGCAGGTGCCCATGAAGTCGAAGCGGCGGCCATCGAAGGTGGTGTAGTGGGGGTCTCCCGACGCCTGGCAGGTGGCAGAGCCCACGGCCACACAGCCCAAGCTGCCACCGGATGGCTGGCAGGCCTCGTGCGGGCCGCAGCTGGAGGGCTCACAGGATACTAGGCCGCCCTCCTGGCAGTGGCAAAGGGAATCACACCCGGGGCCAGGGTAGAAGGTCTGGCCTGGTGGGTAGTAGGTGCCCTGGTGTACGCAGCCACAGGAGGCCAGAGGCAGGCAGGACTCACCACTGAGCGCAAAGCCCTCATCGCACACGCAGCCCTCATGGCATTCTGAGCCACAGCCTCCGCGCACTGGGAGGTCTCCACAGGACAGCGGGCAGCCGTAGGAACACGCCTCATAGTGGCTGTGGGGTGGACAGCTCAGTGCTGCAGGGAGAGGAGACATCAAGATCAAGAATTCCTGCTCCCAGGGAGCAGGACTCGATACCCCCCAGCCCCCAATACATTCATATGCACACACACACTCAAACACACTCACACACTAGCGGTCCCCCAACACATTCGTATGCACACACAGATGCTCAAAGACACTCACACACAAGCGGTCCCATTGCAGGGAGCTTGGGGAACACATTACATCGCAGTTAATCTGATCCTGATAATTAAGATTCTTTCCCAATTTAACTGTAGTTTGGAGTTGTCTATTATGGTTTTTTCTTGTTTTTTTTTTTTTTTTTTGAGAAATGGGTTACTCTGTTACTCAGGTTGGATGGAGCTCGGTGGTGCTTGCTATCACAGCTCACTGCAGCTTTGACCTCCTGGGCTCAAGCAATCCTCCCACTTCGGCCTCCTGAGTAGCCGGAACTATAGACGTGCACCACCATGCCTGGCTAACTTTTTAAATTTTGTGTAGAGATGGGGTCTCGCTATGTTGCCTAGGCCGGCCTCAAACTGCTGGGCTCAAGCAGTACCCCTGCGTCAGCCTCCCAAAGTGCTGGGATTACAGGAATAAGCCACCACACCCGGCCTTCTATTATGTCTTTAATGACCTTATTCAAGTTGGATACACGGTGTTGATATGTGGTATATATTTTAAACATGCATATGCATATATTTGTGTGTATGTGTGTGTGTGTATAATCTATGCAGTGTATTTGTGAATGCCATACTTTTAGCTTCTTCCTTCTATAGCAGTAATTAAATTATTTAGCCAGTGTTATAAAAAAAAACCTCCCTTCTCCCCTCCCCAAACTCCAGTCACTCCAGTCACTCCAGTCTATAAAAAGCAAATCTAAGTGGCTAAAACTAAACCACATTAAATCTCTATCTGTGCTGTCTAATACAGTAGCCACTAGCCACTTGGGACCATTTAGATGTAAATTAATTAAAATGTAACAAAATTGAAGCTTTAGCCCTTCAGTCACAACATCCTCACTGCAAGCGCTCAGCAGCCACATGTGACCTGCGGCAACCTGGTATGTATTTGAACAGCTCAAATATGGAGCTGTCATCATTGAAGTTCTGCTGGGTGGTGCTGTTCTGAAGCTAACATCCAGCTTACAGGAGAATCATGGGGACATAGGGACAAGTTCAATAACACTCCAAAATAGCAACTAGCCAGATCCTGAAAATAGAAAATTCTGTAGAATAAATGACCTATCTTTCCCAATAATGAAGTGACATAAACAAAAGGAAGAGCTGGATGGAGGGATAGATACGTGATAAGGCAAGTGAGTGAATTAGAATTAGAGTGTAGAGGCCGGGCACGGTAGCTCACACGTGTAATCACGGCACTTTGGGAAGCCGAGGCGGGAGGATCACTTGAGGTCAGGAGTTTGAAACCAGCCTAGCCAACATGGTAAAACCCATTTCTACCAAAAATACAAAAATTAGCTGGGCATGGTGGCGCACATCTGTAATCCCAGCTACGTGGGAGGCTGAGGTGCGAGAATCGCTTGAACCCGGGAGGCGGAGGTTGCAGTGAGCCGAGATCGTGCCACTGCACTCCAGATTGGGCGACAGAGCGAGACTCCGTCTCAAAAAAAGAAAAAAGAAAGAAAAAGAAAAGAAACAGAATTAGAGTGTAGAGTCCAGGTGGCAGGTTTATGGGTCTTCACTGTAAAATTCTTTCAACTTTTTTGTATATTTGACAATTTTCACAATACTATGTTGGGAGGAACAAAGGAAGGAAATTCTGACAGAGTAAAAGCAACAAGGTAGATCAATCCAATGCAGTATGTGTATTTGGTTTGGTTCTAGAGCCAAACAAAATAGAAAAAAACCTTTTTTTTTTTTTTTAGACAATTGGGAAAATTTGAACCCAGATTGGGCTTTACATGATGTTAGGGAATTGATATTATTTTTGTTACTGGTAATTAATTACCACATGCCCTCATATCTCTTTCTTCTTTCCTTTCTTTTTTTTTTTTTTAGAGACAGGGTCTCACTGGAGTGCAGTGGCACAGTCTCGGCTCACTGCCGCCTCCACCTCCTGGGCTGAAGATATTCTCCCACTTTAGCCTCCTGAGTAGCTGAAATGATAGGCACTAGTCACCACGCCCGGCTTATTCTTTATTTTTATTTTTGTAGAGACAGGGTTTTGTTATGTTGCCCAGGCTGGTCTTGAACTCCTGGCCTCCAGCGATCCTTCCACCTAGGCCTCCCAAAGTGCTGGGATTACAGGCATGAAAAGGAAGTCCTGTTCCTTAAAAGTCCATTTTTGTTGCTGAATACAGATGCTTACTGAAGTAGTTAGAGGAGAACTCATCTGCCTATAATTTGATCTAAAATAGTCTATAAAAAAAAAAAAAGAGGGGGTGGAGTGAGATGTAGAGGAGCTAAGAATGGCAAAATACCAATAATTGTTGAAGCTGGGTCAGGCCTCCATCTGCATGTCTAAGCCCTCATGATCCAGTCTTCTAGAACTTCCAAGGGGTAGAAGGACAAGAGGAATTTTGAGGAAACAAGAGATTCTCAATTTTCACAGAGGCCACAGAGTCTAATAATTAACAGCACAAAATCAGGAGCCAGCCTGTTCAAATCACCCCACCAGCTGTGTGACCTCAGGCTAGTTCCTTAACATCTCTGTGGTTCTCTTTCTTCATCTTGTAAAGTAGGAATAAGAGCAATTCCACCTCATGGGGTGGTTGTGAGTATTCAACGAGAAACCCTTAGAACAGGACCTGCCCAGTGGGATGCGTGTCACACAACTGCCAGCTGGAATTATACGTGTCCTCCCTAAAAGGACAGCCCAAGAATGCTCTGTTAGAGGAGCATTCCCGCTTCCCATTGTCCCCCTGTCCCCTTCACAAGCGTGCTTTCTCCACTTTACAGAAGAGAACAGTGTAGTCCCCAACCCATCCTGAATCTTTTTTTTTTTTTGAGACAGAGTCTCGATCTATGGGCCAGGCTGGAGTGTAGTGGTGCGATCTCGGCTCACTGCAATCTCTGCCTCCCAGTTTTAAGCAAAGATTGTCCTGCCTCAACCTCCTGAGTAGCTGGGATTACAGGCGCTCACCACCATGCCTAGCTAATTTTTATATTTTTTGTAGAGACAGGGTTTTTCCATATTGGCCAGGCTGGTCTTGAACTCCTCACCCCAAGTGATCCGCCCGCCTCGGCCTCCCAAAGTGCTGGGATTACCGGTGTGAGCCACGGCGCCCGGCCCCATCCTGAATCTTAACACATGGCACACTTCCCTGGGGTGTGAAACCTCTGAGGACATAAACAGACAATTTCAAATATTGCTATCACTGTGAACACAACGAATGCTCACTCATTATTGAGTAATAAGTCAAAAGGAGGGCCTAATAGAATTGGCGACTCACAGATAATAAAAAGTAAATTTTGTGGTGTCTCACTGTGTGCCTTCCCTATGACTCAGGAGGGGTTCAGAGCATGGAGTGATGTTACTCTACCTGCACTCCGTCCACTCCCACCCACTTATCAATATCATGTAAGCCAGGAGCTGTGGCTCAAGTCTGTAATCTCAGCACTTTGGGAGGCCAAGGCAGGAGGATGACTTGAGCCCAGGAGTTTGAGACCAGCCTAGACAACATAGCGAGATCTTGTGTCTACAAAAAATAAAAAAATAGCCAGGCATGGTAGTGTGCACCTGTAGTCCCAGCTACTCAGGAGGCTGACACAGGAGGACCACTCGAGCCCAAAGATTGAGGCTACAGTGAGCTGCGATCATGCCACTGGACTCCAGCCTCTGTGACAGGATAATATCTTATCTCAAAAATAAATAAATATCATATATACAAAAATAAAAGGTAGGATTAGAATTGATGCTGAACCCTGTCTCATTCTAACAATATATGTGAAATACTGGGTGGGGGGAAGCTCCATCCATCTCACTGAATGATGTCATTAAAATGGCCATTACAATTTACTTCTGTTTAATATTTTTATCAATTGTGCACAAACAATACTTGCAATGATATCTTACTCCATTAAAAAAACCACTTAGAGTCTTATAGTCTTAGGAATTTCTAAAACTTCTTATATCTTTTATAAGAAGGCTGTTTTGTCCCGGGAGTTTTCACATCCCAGGGCAACACACCACATGTTAAGATTTGGGATGGGTGGAGACTGCACTGCTTATTTTATTTTATTTTATTAATTTAATTTAAT